TTACTGTATATTACTAAATATATATATATATATTACTGTATTAGCATTAGATTAAAAAAGTTAATTTAAAAACCTGACCATGTGCTTAAAGTGGGCTAGTATCTTGCTCCAAGAATATCCAAATGCCACATTTCTTAATTAATCACATTTAGAACAGGCTAATCTGATGTCAAAGAGGTGTATGGCTGTTATATGATTTGTTATTATACCGTAAATTCTCAAAATAGCGGCGTTATTTTGAGTTATGGCCTGAATTAGGCCAAGGTTCGAAATTACACCCTTAGGCATTATTTCGAGAATTTACAATAGATTCTTTAATATGTTAGCTGTTATATAGCCAGTGACTATAGTAAGAGTTGACTATAATTAAAATCAAACTATATATACTGTATATTATTTTATTTATTATAAAAAAATTACATATTAGCTATTTAAATTTATAGTTTATCTTTTTAATCTATATAACAATTACTGTATATAAATAATAAAATCAACTAATTAAGCACAAAATTTGCTATTTAAATTAGCTTAATATAAAAAAAAAATATATTTATAAAAAAAAAAATACAAAAATTAATATTTAAATAATCTTACAGTAAAACACTAAATAAAAATTATAAAAAAAACATAATTTATATATAGTATAAATAATATTTAAGTTTACAATCACGAACCTTATCAAGAAATTTAAATAAAAATCTGTGCAAAACTTCAAACCTAGCAGTTATAGTCACAGAAATTAAATACAATTCTGTGCAAAACTTCAAATGATGAAAATTTTGCAAAAATCTGCAAAAATACAGATTTTTGGAGATTTACACTTATTTAATTTTCCTGTGGCTGATTACCTAATAAAATCAAATATATATCTAGTCTTATTCATTTTTGTATAATTAATCAAAAAATTATTATTGTAATTTTTATAATAAAATTAATAGCAAAAATATTTTTTGTTATTTCTCGCTTAATAACAATTCTTGTTTTCTAATTTTAACCTTTCGATCTTTATTACATTCTTAACACACATCATATTAAATTTTCAATTAATAAATACATTTCTAAATTGGTATAATTAAACTTTATATATACTGTATATATCAATTTGAAATATATATTTTAATCGAAAATTTTAAGTATGCAATAAAGGTTAAAATATTTTAAAGTTGGAAAAGAAAAATTATTATTAGGCGAGAAATAACAAAAAATATTTTTACTATTCTTTTATTATAAGAATTATGGTACCATATTTTCGCGAAATAACGCGATATTTTGAGTATATGCGCGATATTTAAAGTACGTGCATGGGCGTTCTTTTGAGACAAAGTAAAATTTCCCAACCTTCTGTTATATATATCAAGTTATTGTTGAAACCCTAATGTGGGTTCGGGACGCGCATGTACGTTATTTTGAAACCATGAACGCTATTTTTAGGAGACATGATTTCTAAATAAAGCCTATGCCTGTTATCTCGCGAAAATACGGTATATAATAATTTTTTGATCAAAAATCTATTATAAGATTAGGTGATCGACCACTCGATGTCACGTGATATGGACGAGTCTAAATTCCTGGCAAGGCCAGTTAGATAAAAATTTAAAATTTGTAAACTTTTTATTTTATATACTGTATTTTAGATTTATTTTTTATTGCACTCAATTTTAACCCTTAAAATTAGAGATACAAAAGTTTTCAATACTTTCGTTAACTGTCGCGTTTGATGCTAATCGGCTAATGCTGGAATTTGGATCTCAATTTGAAAATATATCCATATTAAAATTCACATTCTCTTTAACAATTCTAGACCTAAATCCTAACCTAACCCTAAAAAAAAACATTCCAAAAATTTTTAAAATTTCATTCCAGTATCAGCCAATTTCAGCATCAGCAGTTACATTAATTCTAGTAAATGTTTATTTATATAAAACAAATTAAGTTACTTCCTCCTACTATTCTTTTTTAAACTAAAATATGCTAAAACTCTAGTTATAATCGAAATTCCAATTAATATTAAGAAGTTACCATACCAAGGTATTATATTCAGTTGTAAATGTTCCAATACAGCAACTCCCTGTATATAACCATCTGAAGAATGTAAACATTGTGAATAATCACTAGTCTGACCCAAGTTCGAACATTTAAAGCTTGCATATGGTGAATCGAATTGTATTTGCATCATGATGGAATACGAATAGAAAATGAATGACTATTGTTCAAAAATAAATATATTAGAATTTATAATTTAAAAGATTTGATATTAAATATGAGGCATACAAATATATATAGTAAATACGAGATACGTATAATACATACAGCATATTTCAACCATAATAACCCAAATGGTAAATTACGTATATAAAATCCACCTAGTAACATAGATGCTAACATGAAAAGTGTGCATGCCACTGATTATTTTAAAAAGAATTCATTAGTATATATAAGGTATTAAATGGTAAGCACGTGACGATATGTACATGTTGCACTTTGAACATCCATAAAAGCAGCTCCAGAAAGGTATCCAAAGCTTTGTGCTGTAAAAACTGTTAATATTGCGGTCGCCTATTTTATTTTAACCATTTTACATTATTATTATATAATTCTTCATCATTGCCTAGCATTAATGATAAACTTACCATGTATGCAAAGAAACTACTAGCACTAGGTATTAATCCGACAGTCCAGTAAACAATACACATATAAAGTATTGGAAAAACGACTAAAAGGGGCAATTCTGCAATTTGTTTCGAGAGGAAATATGAGAGAAGTCGATATGAACGTGACTGACGTTCTTTACTAAGAATATCAAAATCTAGCGGGAATGCTGTTATTGTGATCATTGATGCAAAAAAGATCCAAAATGTTGTTCTATTATTTGGTTAAAAGTATAAAAATTAGGGTTGGTGCACATAATACAGTAAGTAGTATTCGAATAATAAATAATGCAACTTACGTGAAGAAGATCTATAAATTATATCAGAATACATAAAATTTATCATTAAAGTTCTCAATATCACTCGTTATTTACTATTTCACTATGATCACATGACAGAACTTTAACATTCTCGAACATTTTGAATAACGTAAATTTAATTGTTAAAAGTGATTACTAACATAAGTCCCATTATGTCATCATAAGAAACAGTAAATATCATTTATTCTCTCCAACTTGGAAATAACTACTTTATTTACTCACCATCCCATATCGATCCGGTAAACTAGCTTCAGTATAAGGCATCCGGAACCAAATAAGGCAATTAATTATCGCTAAACTAAATATTTGCGTAAAATTCAGTTTTGATAATACAACTTTACTACGTTGTTTAAAACTTCTTTCTGTAAGGATCATTAATTGTTGAAGAAATGTTGCCTCCCATTTATGTTTCGAAGATCCTGTTATTCTCGAGTCATCAGAACTTGTGGGTCTTTTGAAACATTTTTCGACTACTAATTTACCAGATGAATCTGATTGTATGCTATTTGCATGTGTGGTTATTAATTTCTGTTTTGCCGTTGGGTTATTTAAAAGTTCCACTAAATTTTAAAAATCACCAAATGTTAGTTTATACTATCTTATAAAATTATAATAAAACGAATACATACACATATAGTCAGCTGGATTGAAATTAGGGTGACAAACAAATCCTTCGTTGGCAAGATAATCGACAATATCCGCACTATCACCAAAATAAGCTACTTGTCCATCTGCCATTAGTAAAAGCCTATCAAATAGTTCAAAAACCTGTGATGAGGGCTGATGAACAACCATTATTATCGTTTTTCTCTGCTTTTTTGCTAACTCTTTTAGAGTCTGTACAAGGTCTAATGCTAACGATGAATCTTTGGGATAATAATTACTTTAGCATCACGTGACTGTGGGTAAATAAGTACGCTGAATATGCTAGTACATACGTACCTAAACCAGAAGTAGGCTCGTCCAACAAAATAACGCTAGGTTCGGTTAAAAGTTCGTTTGCAATACTAACCCGTTTCTTCTCACCACCTGATATTCCACGAATTCTCATGTCACCAATTCTTGTATTTGAACATTTTGAAAGGTTTAACATTTGAATTATGTTTTCTACTTGCTCTAACTTTGCGCTAGTGGACATTTCTCGTGGAAGGCGCAGTCGAGACTATAATAGCAAATGATCTCGATAAACTTGTAAAAAAAAAAAAAAAAATTGATCAATGTGCAAAGATTCAAAACATACCGTATAAGAGAGAGTCTCCCTAACGGTTAAGTATGGAAAAAAGGTGTCATCTTGAGCACAATAGGCTATAAAACGCTTCGAGTCTTTAGTTGGCTTATGTCCATTCATTTTAATTGTTCCTTCTATGGCTTTAGTGCCTAAGCGATTTCCGATCGCGTTCAAAAGAGTAGTTTTTCCGCATCCCGATGGGCCCATGATCGCTAAGATTTCCCCTGTAACGCGTATCACGATCAGACAACTCTTGGCTGTACGTTGCGTTCTTAAAGTTGCAGCAATACATACCAGGTCCAGCAAATCCGTGAATATTTTGAATAATCAACTTTCGCGAGTTCTTCCCTATTTCCTCATCAATTTGTTTACCATATATTTTTTGCCGATAAACCGGTATTGAGTAACTAACACCATAAAATTCAACATATACAGGATATTTTCTAGTCGTGGATTATTTTGCACGAATTCTGCATGTTTAATAGATTTTTCATCGAATTCTATCTGTATTTGCATTTCATCGTTTTTGTCGTCTCCTGATGAGAATGACACTGAATCCTAGTCGTTGTCAAATATTTTTTAAAATCGATAATTATTCAATTTTTTATTCTTGTAGAAAATTTAGATTTTACCTTTATTTTTTTGTCTTGAATCGATTTAATGAAATCATCTTCCATTTTATCATACAAATTGAATTTACTAAAGCTGAATTCTCGGGTTTTTATTAGTTAATGAATGATCTGTAATAGAATGAATCAAAGATGGTTTAACCTTGTCGATTTTTTTTTTATTTTTTTTTTGTTTGGCGTAGGAACTTTATTTTTGTTTATTCTAATTACTAAACGCACACGTGATCGGATATTTTTGTATCATTTCAATGTTTAAATAAATTTAATAAATATAAACAGGTTATTTATTTATTACGACAAATGAGCTCATTAAGTAATTGCGTTACAAAACTTAACAAATATACATACAGTTTATGAAAGACGGCTTTTACTTTACTCCGATTGTTAGTCATATCACCTTTTTAATTTAAAATTTAAAGACTTGAATTTTAAGAAAAAATATTCCAACAACCTTCTGATCAAGTTAATAAAAAACTTCATCATGTGTTTATAAGAAAAATTTAACTTAATCTTAAGTAGCCGTCAAAATATTTATCTCAAAATTTTTATATAGGCGTCGTCGAAATATCCATTCAAATTTTTTTGAAAAATTTAAACGTGAATAACTAACCGTCCATAAAATTAAGGCCTTATTTGGTGAAGCACAATAGTAATTTGGTAATTTGGCGCAGTTATTAACCTGATTAAATGAAAAAAATCTAATGGCTTTAGTCTAAACGCTATAGTGCCATATGCTATTTTCTTAGCGTTAATTCATTAAGTTGCTAATATGACACCTAAAAAGGTTCAGATCAAGTAACTAATTACTGATTAGTAATAGAGGTGGCCAATGTTACACGAAGCTTCAAAAATGGCGTTTCTCTAATTATACGTATCTATATATTAACGACATGTTTATAATAATTTAATTATACGTATTATATCAAAAACCTGAATAAAAAATTAGATTGTGGACATATTAAAAAATAATCATTGTCAGGTAAACCCGGATGCGTCAATATGCATATTATACTCAACCAAGGAACGTTCCGGTTTCACCTAACTTTGGCCGATTCATTCAAAACATCGTTTTTTAAGTTATACATACCGTATATGTATATATTTATTATACCCGGGTTGGTGAAAGTAACTGGACAGTGCCCTTTTTTTAATTTTAATGTTTAGCGTTAGTAATCATTGCAATGAATTAAATTTTTTTATGTTAAAAATTATAGTTACTTTTATACTTCGTGTCGGTATTACAAGATACAATACTGCAGTATGTATTTTATAAGTGCTGCTAAAAAAAAAATCACTATATTCTAATATACGGTATATGTATAATATGTATTTTAATAATACGTATTTAATTACTATTATCTTTTAATCTATATTCTAAATAAATTTGAAAAGCATTTATTTACAATTTTTTAATAAATTAAAAAAAATTAGTAATAAGATATACTTTATATAGTACTATATATCAGATCCGTCTTACTTCACCGACAATCGTTTCACCGAAGCTCATTTAGCCGACATCACGCCGTGTGACAAATTACTAAAAACATATACCTGAAACCAGCGTATAAAATCAATGTTCATGTTTTTTTTTAGCTTTACATATAAAAATTTTACCTTGTGCACGTTGTGCATATGTTTGTGCACATGTTTTGTAATTCAGACTAACCCTAATCCTATGTGATGTCGGCTAAATGAATTTTCGGTGAAATATAACCCTATGTGATGTCGGCTAAACGAACTTTCGATGAAATATAACCCTACGTGATGTCGGCTAAATGAACTTTCGGTGAAATATAACCCATGTGATGTCGGCTAAATGAACTTTCGGTAAAATAGGACTATCGATTAGGGGGCAAATTTCTAACCCACGATCTTAAATTAAAAATCAAAAATGTTTAATACGGTATGACGTCGATTACGTAATTTAAATGTATAATATAATAAAATTCTACAAAACACTGTCTCATGTTCCCGTTAAAAGAAATCCGGGTAAACTTTACAGAAGTTGCCAAACCTCTGATAAACGTGATCGAACAACACTCGCCAAAAATGTAATTATTGCGAAAACTGCATTGATTTAGTTAAACGATAAAAGGTCATTTATTAAAATGTAAAGATCTTCAAAGAAACATAGATTTATTAAAAGCTCAAAACAGGATTCTGGTTCTTCAAATAATTCATTCGCGAAAACTTATTCAATGAGATTTACATAGGGATAATATTGTAAACCTTGGACTTTCAATACCAACAATGTAAAAATAATGTAGAATGAAAGGTTGTATTGGCCGATAAGCAAATTTCGCATTAAAAATGTAATAGCTTTGATAAAAATTAAAGCGATCAAATAAAATTTTTGTAATATCTAATAATTCGAATTTATATAGCACCGTCTTTTTTTTCCCTGCTGAAAATTAAAATTAACCAATCCGATGCAATATTTTTGGTTTTAGCAAAATTTTGCATCAGACGTCAATGTTTTAAAAAAAAGGTTTAACCCAATAAAAAACATTTAAACCAACCCTACTGTCGGTGAAGCGAGCACACTGATATCAGATATATACCATAATATTTTATTTAAAATATATTTTATAAACTTCCTTTAGAAATCACTTGGTAGACTTTGTAAAGCACTGGTTTAATGAAAAAAAATATTGATCTTGCTATTATTTCATATAGAATGACTAGTAAATTACAGCCACTTGAGACATGTATTCGATATATATATCATGTTTTTTACTTTTTATTTATTTATTTATGAATGGGATTAAAAGATGAACATAACGACAAGACAGTTCATTCATTATCAAACATCTGTTGATTGATATGTATGACGTTGGAAGAAGAGGATATGATAATATTGGACTACCATATTTTTGACGAATATTATTTGGAACATTTGTATATTATATTTATTATATTTTATGTTTTGCAAATTTCATATTCTCATAATTACAATTGTTTTTTTTCTGACACCTCGGTAGGAGTCAAAACCGAGAAGTAATTCATTTGTTAATCAGCAATTCCGAACTATTTATTATCAATATGGGTGATGCTATGGGAATATATAACGTTGGATACTGTTAAAAGCATGGAGATTTTTTTTTTCTTAAAAAATATTCATATTTATTTAAATTGGGGCACCCTCTCGATCAATGGCAATATCAGAATCAACTTGTTTAAAAAATGATAACGAGAACTATAAGACTGCTAAACGGTTTTGATCCTACTTATTCAGTAACATTATTCTAGGCAGTGATACAAATCAAAAATCGAAAAATCGATTAAAATCGATTAGTTGATTTAGTTGACAACTAATCGATTGAAAAATTTTTGCCAACTTATACGTATTAAAATCAATCGATTGCAAAATTTGTATTACTAATTCTAGGTATTACAGTATCACCGTAAGGGTGATACTGTATTGTCCGGAGCGAAGCGAATGCGTAATTATGTCACTGATTGGTTGAATCATATGATGTGGTTTACGCGTAGATTCACGTATAAGTATCTGAT